TTATTTTAAATCCACTGTGCTAAGTGTTTTCCTTTTCTTAATGTACTGTAGAAATTCCATTTCTTGACAGCAATAAGACACTTCAGGCAATGTGTTTCAGGGCCAATATCGTACTTCTCATGAAGTTAAGACACTTGGCCTTCAGCCTCATGACTTATAACACAATCTAAGTTATGCTATAATCACCCAGATATATACATGGCCTGTTGTGTTTTATTGCTTAAATGGAACCTGCCCCAAGAGCCTCATCAACTGACAAGGTGGGAATATAGCCCCAAATGATTGTTCAGAATCCCACTGGGACTTGCATTTGGTCAGCTCTCCTTCAGCCTTTCAGGGGTTGCACTGAAACTCTGGAGGCCTTTCGTACATTTACCATGTAACAGAAACCAAACTCTCCAGCATCTCAGGTCTCACTGCCAGACTGCCTAACTTAGTTTGCCAAATATCTCCCCCTCAACACATTTATTGAACTTTAAAACAGCAGAACACCATTGAATGAAGTCCAGTAATTTTTATAGGATATATTTTAGTCACTAGACTTTGAAGGCTATTCCAACATTAATTATGAAGTTTCTGTGTCTGGATAACATATTGTTAACAGTTATTTTGCAAGTGCTAATGGCAAGATGGAAGATTTCCAATAATTTTATTGAGGAAGTGGCAATTAAAATGTTGAGCACTACAGCATACATACAAAATAAAAACAACCTTGCAAATAGTGTACTGTACTTCATGGCAAAAGTTGGAAATACTTTTTAAAAAATAGATATGATAATTTGATGTTGCATTTCCACCTCCTTTTTGCTCAAGGGGGATGAAGAGGTCTCTTTTTTTGTTTGCTAATGTTTAAAAACCATGTAAAATGCCAGAGCCCTGGGCTGATTTGATATTGTTTACTACGACATTACGAAATAATTTTAAGACAAGTTGTTACCCATATTTCTTTCAATAACAAATATCACTAAAATGAGATCATTGGCCTAGTGTGACGATTTATGACTCTGGAAATGCATGAGCTGTCTTTTCTAAAGACTTTTAAAGACTTCATCTAGCATGCTTTTGCCTCCTGAGCTCTCTGTGTGACCACCCATCTTCCAAACTCACCCTACCGCAGTCAGCCAGCAGCTCTGGGTTGTTAGCCTGTCAGAACACTGAGAGCAGAATGATGGACAGCAAGAGGCAGCAGGCAGGATGGAGAGCACTCCAGCACACACAATGTTGGGGTGCAACACACAGGGATAAGGGACAGAGCAGGGGAGTGGTGGGTGATGCTTATGGACTCTAGGTCCAGAAGTCTGTTATCTTCAACATACCGCTTTTGATCATTTTAGATTTAGAATGCCAATTATTATTTGCAGAATCAAGACCACTGGAATCTAGACAAACTGACTTAGTGTCAATAATTTAATGCTATTGTATTTTGAAAGAGTTCAGAACAAGAGTACATATGCTTCACAACTACTTGATCTCCAGTTTCTTTTATGCACATCCTGATTGCTTTATAACTTAAGCCTAGGTTTTTCTCTCATCCATTTGGTGGAATATTTTATTCTAAATGAAGAGTAATCTATATTTTCTATTTGGTTTAAATCTATAATTGGAATGCTTATCAACATTGGCTAATGAAATCAACACTGTCAACACTATAATATTACAGCATAAAGTTTCTGGCTAAAATATTTTCCTTATGTTTCTGCTTTTCTAGGATCCATGTTATATTCTTCCCTTGGTATTTCTTTGGGAGTCATTTCTTAAAAACACCTCCCCTTTTTTTTCTGAAGAGTCATACAAGAGCAGTGGAATCAAATGTTAGGTCTTTTTTCACTCAAGAACAATAAGCATACAGAAGCTGAAATTATATAATATTTTACCCATTTCTAGTAAATTAAAGACACTTTTAAAAACACCTTTAAATGACAATACACAGAAAGAGAATAATTCCCATTAATGGGGTTTCCTCTTTCTTAACATATGCATTTATGGAATTAATTCTTATCTTTTCCAGTTACTTAATATGTACTCATTCTTATGAATCCTAAATATTAAAGCAGGTTATTATGTTGTTCTTTATTTTGTTTAATATGACATTAAGAAAATTTGATTTTCAGTTAAATCACTTATTTCTAGAGATTCATCATCTAAGAGCAATACTTTAAGCTGGCATCCTATGAAGGGGTTTATCATTTGTTGATTTATTGCTTCTTTTAAGAGGATTTATCATTTGTTATTTACTCCTTAGTTAATATTCTTGTTTCATATTGTGTGTGTATATTACTTCATCCACCTTTGCCTCTGTGAGGAAGCAAAACATGTCCTCATTTTCCTTTTTATGCTCAAAGTATTAAGATGTCTTCATTTAATTCATGCTCAACAGAATGCTCACAAACTAATGGAAAGCTGAAGATCTGTATTTATTTCATCACATAATTATTTTTCTTCAAGAAAATTAATCCTAATTCTTGAGTCACAAAAACCATGTGTGTAGAAAAAAAATATTGATTATTGGTTCACATAAGTGACATTTTCTGGTTTTCCAACTGATTTTTAAAACTGGTAAACTAATGCAACAGAGCAAGGAAGAGTGAGAGAAGCTTCTGGATAAGAATCAATTCAGGGGAGCTAGATGGCAAACTTTGAGTGGATTTCAGCCCAAAAATGTCAGTCTTATTTTGCGAACATACTTCAAAGAATACATACAAGATTGATTTTAAAATACAAAGTTTTAAAGCTAGATATAAAACTTGTATTAAATAGAATTTGGTTTGGAAAATAAAAGTTTCCCGTTGGTGAATGGGCCCCCTGAGAGCCAATTAGTGAATTCTTCATCTAAATTACACCTTAGGTCTCAAAAGTATTAATCTCCAAAAGGTGCACAATTTATCCCCAGGATAGGTGTAAGTAGTCTGCTATTGGATGAGTGTCCTTAAAAAACTTGGAATAATTGTTACCTTTCCAGGAGTCACTGGAAGGAACAGTAGTTACCTGTTACCAGTACAGAAAGCTTTTATGACTAATGCTCTGGAAATCTCACTTCCTTCCTCTTAATTCCCTTCTGTGTCTCTGTGACTTTGTAGCTATTCTACCAATACTAAGTACTAAGGTTTGGACTAGACTCAGTGTAGCCAATGAGAGGCAAATCTCCTAGAGTATGATGGTTTGGGCTTTGAAGGTGGACAGATTTGTGTTTGATTGCTGTCTGCTTTCTTATCTATGTGAAATTGGAAAATTACTTACATTCCCACAAGTTCAATTTCCTTATACATATAATGGGGGTTATATATCAGCCTCAGAGTTATTGTAAGGTTTAAGTGAGAAAGTATTTGACAAGCCCTTGGCATAAGTTTTACACACATGATAGCATCACAGGATGTTTGATTTATTTGCTTGGTAATATTGTTAGGTTTGCACCAATCTATGTTTGAGTTCTGTCCCCTTACAGAAATGAAAAGAATGTCCAAGGCCAGGGAGTGGGGGAAAAAAGCAAACTTGAATCCAGGCACAATCTTTGTTTTATTAGGACTTTCTCACCCTAAAAATAGAGTTCCCCAGTGATTGGCAGAAAAGCTAGAAGATTCAAAACTTGTGGTAGAATTGGAAAATTGGAAGCCTAATGAAGGAATATGTTACACTTAAGATACCACCAATAAGAGAGAATCTCTAATGAGCAATGTCCTAAAGTGTAAAGATGATAGTTAATAATGATTGAGTCTTCACAACAGACAAAACACTATGTGGGATGTGGGGTCTTTTACCAGTGTTAAAAGAAAAACTTTAAACAAATTGAATTTAACAGGGTTTAATTGAGCAAAGAACGACTAAAATTGTTACTCACCTACTTGTTACAAGTGTAGGTTACAGTCTGTTTACACATCCAGTTATAGTTCATATATCCAGTTAGGTTAAGGTATGGAGCCATCTTTAGGCTGAACTTAAAATATGTGAGGAGGCAGCTGTAGGCTGTATTTAATTTAGCATCAGCAGCCATCACATTTCTACATAGTAACAGTGGAGGTCCATACACTACTGTTACCTCATTGTACAGATGAGGAAAGTAAAGATCAGGTGTTTGAGGAATTTATCCAAGGACTTTCCAGGTGTATATGGCTCCCTTCTACTGCATTGCTTCCAAACAGAATGGTAAGATAATTACAAGAACTGAAAGGACAGACTGTATCATCAGGACCTATTTAAACTAAGAGCTGTCTTTTGGTTTGGTTTTGCTTTTATGGAAATGATTCTTTATACTATAACTCACCTATTTTATAATCTTGTCACATTATCTCTGAATACAATTTTTGAAAATGCTCTTGTGTAAAGTATGCTAGCTGAGGCAGACTTGTAGACTATCAGCAAGAGCTTTTCTTCTTGCCATAAAAAGCCAGACATTTCCCAGACTGTTTTACACTTGGCTGTAGCCAGGTAACTGAGTTCTAGCCAATGGAATGTGAGTCGAAGTCATATGTAGCATTTCTGGGCCAGGTGCATAAAAACTTCACATTATTGTTTCTCTGTGCTCCTTTTCTTCACTTGGATTAATAAAGAGGAGCCTGGCAACCTTGAAAGCTGTTAAAGCTCATGAAGCCTCAAGATAGAAGGAACCCACACCTCTGAATCAGTGTTCACAGGGGAACCCCAGTAAATCAGGAATACTCATTTCATCTGCACATGAGTGAGAAGTGAGCCATTATAAGCTTTGAATTTGTTTTTTTTTTATAGCAGCAAGAATACTTTAACCAATTTTCTGTCTAATTAGAATTTTTATAGAATTTTTCTCTTACAAGTTGTTACTTATGAATATTTGAAGTCCTCTGTGTCAGCTTTTAGTGATATCTTTCAAAATGAGTGAAAATTTCACATTGAGTGAATGTTTATCTGTCTGATCCTATTGTCATAACACTTATTTTTACTGTTCTCTGCCAGCCCTAAATTTATTAAAATACACGCACAGGCTAGTCCAGTTTCAATTTGTCTTTTACTGATGTCTGCATATCTTGCAGCCCTCTCCCCACCACCCGCCAATCCCCACTCTGCCACTGGAATTCTGCCTAAAATGAAACAGCAACAGAACAGAGGTCAAGAACTTGGAAGGATTCATATGGGAGAAACCAGGTACAGCTTGATTTAATATCAATATTTCATGTGTTCAGAGAGTGAAGTTTCAGGCTACAAGATAACGGCCCATCATTTTTATGCCCTTCCATCTGTGAAAAGCTGTTCCTCAAAGAATGGTGTATGAACAACCTAGCAGCTTTTCATTTGAGGCATGATACTCTGAAAAAAAAATGAGATCTTTTGATGCATAACCAGACCTTGAGGATAATTCATATCTATGGAGTTATAGGGCCAGACTCATAAAGAATGCAGATTTTTCTCTCTGAAATATATTACTGGGGAAAGGTACAGAACACAAATCTTTAATACAATGAAACCTTTGCCTCCTGCATATATAAAACAAAGGTTATACCATCTACGATCACCTACAGTGAAAAAACAAGTAGGCACATTTAAGAGACTGTGAAGTAACAGTCACAGGGATAGAATAAAATGATAAAAAAAATAAGTCAAATTATTGTTCATTTAAGTTTACATGGTGAGGTTTTATTTTTTTTAATTTATAATAATAACAATAATGCAGACAAACTCCTTTAAGCCAAGTCCCATTGCAAAAAAATAGTAAATCATAAAATAGGAATGTATCTATATTCCCTTATTTCCAACAGAACTCCTGGAATAATGAAAGATTATAGAAGAATCACCAATTTTCTATCCACGTCTGTCTTCCTATCACTCCTGTGACATGGTAGGAAGCATCAATGTTTATATAGTTTGGCTCTATGTCCCCACCCAAATCTCATCTTGAATTGTAGTCCCCATAATCCCCATGCATAGTGGGAGGGATCCAGTGGGAGGTAATTTAATCACAGGGGCAGTTACCCTCATGCTGTTCTTGTGAGAGTGAGTGGGTTCTCATGAGATCTGATGGTTTTTTTAAGGGGCTTTTTCCCCTTTTGCCCAGCACTTCTCCTTCCTGCCACCATGTGAAGAAGGATGAGTTTGCTTTCTCTTCTGCCATGATTGTTAAGTTTCCTGAGGCCTCCCAAGCCTTGTAGAACTGTAAATCTATTCAACCTCTTTTCTTTACAAATTACCCAGTCTTGGGTATGTCGTTATTAGCAGCATGAGAATAGACTAATACAAATATAAATCTTAAATTAGAGTTACCAGGCACCATCCTGGGCCAGATACATGTTACACCAGGTATTCAGCTTCCCATTAAGGCACCCAACAATGCACACAGCCTTTAAAACACTGAGGGATGTGACAGTAAATCACCAATTAATCTAAGGATGTCTCTTGTAGCTCCAACCACTACAAATAGGATCATTGCCCTCTCAGATTTTTACACTTCTGTAGTCACGTTTTCCCATTGGAGGATCTCTTTCTCTGAAGTCAGTGTAAATAATTTGTTCACTTCACAATTCCCAGAGGAACAACTTTTCAGAAAAGTAGCATTGGTTGAGTTATAGTTAAATAACAACATACATATTCCAATAAGAATACATTTTAAATGGATCATCTTCCTTCCAAAGTTCATCATGCCTCTCCTTATATGAACTGTAAGTTGCTACAATGTATCATTTGAGTGAATCACAAAATGTCATTTTGTAAAAAAAAAAAAACTTCTTAAGCATAAAGAAATAGATCTTTGACATGTTTCTTGAATTGCCAATTTACTCAGTGTTAACCAAACCTACTATGTTCTAGGCCATAGCCACTGTAAAGCCTCAAGGAATAAACAAACGAATAAACAAAACAAAGCGGCAAACCATTATTGGAATGTGTCACAAAATGTTGTGAAGTGCTGAGTATCCGTTGTTTTGTTTAATATTCACAATAACCCCATGAAGCAGGTACTATTAGGATTGTTGTTTTCTAGATGAAGTTTAGAGTGATTGGTTAAGTCCACCCAAGCTAGCAAAGGGCAGAACTCCAGAATATTTAATCTCCATACAATATTCGCCATGTTCTCTAGTATCTCTAAGATACTACTGCTTACTCTAGTGAAGGAGATAAGTGTGCAAGCCAGTAATTTTAATGCCTCAGCATAATCCTGGAGCACAGGGGAGGGAGAGGATAACTGTGCACTGCAGAGTGGGAAGAAGAGGTGCTATTATAGAGCACTTGCTAGAGGGAAAATCAGGACAGACATTGCAAGTAATGAGGAATTGACTTCAAAACCAAGAGGATATGAGATAGCATACTATGAGATTCTTAGCACAGAAGTTAGGCAAAGGCCAGATGGTTAAGAATTCCAAATGTGTAACATCTTGAAGAGGTCTTTAAGCAGAGAAATTAGGCAGACAATCCCCTGTCCCCAACCTCTGCAAAGCTAGTTGTAGTGTAGAGAATGGACAGAATGGGACAAGGTTGAGGGATGGGCAGAATAACATTTTTACTTTCATTTTTTTACTACTGAGTATATTTCAGAGAGTGAAGGTTTATGTTTTGTGGAAGGATCCATATGTACATAAAACATCATTACATCTTCCATGTATAAAGGTCCTACTATAAGCTAGTTTCTATGTTTGAAACTTTCCATATGCTATTTTACCTAATCCCTAAAAATATTTTTGCAATTATGCTGCATTTGTATTCCAGAATAGATTTCTGTGGGGAAAAAAAATCTCCATTTCATTGATGAGGAAATGGAGGCACTGAGAGTTTAAAAAACTTATACAAGATAACAAAATTCTACAGAGTCAAGGAATGAGTTCCAATTATATTCCAAACAAGGAAATCAGAGTCAGATATTTGCAGCATTACAGATGACTTCACTGAGCTGTATAAGTTCTTGTATGTCTGGTTTTTAGAAAGTCTTAGTACTTTTGTAGTCACATAATATTTGATTAATATTGGTCAGTGTGGATTTTCAGTCTTTCCTTTTTCAAACATAATTTTGCAATTGGCGTCTGTTCATATTGCCCTGAACTCTAAGGAAAATACCAGTGACAAGCAGAAAAACTCTTAGATTAACATAACTTCCACAGCAAATCTAAAGAGACTGTGTAGTACTATCACACCATAGCATCTTTGGTATTGATTGCTGGAACTGCACACTGACCACTGTCTTTCTCTGCTGCAGAAGTTCAGCCAGCAGCCAGCCAAACCAGCATAGATTTTGGAAAATCAAACTGATTTTCTTTTTTGCATTTGCCCTCCGTGTAGCACCATTTCTCATATATTCAAGGCTGACCTAAGTTTGGGAAATTTGCCAATCAATTGTTCAGACTTTATTTTATTTTATAACCCTAAAGATACTACTGACTAACACAGAAACACAACTGTTATAAAGAAAGCCAAAAGCTACTAAGAAGTTAACAATACATGGTCACCCTGCTCCTTCTGTAGGCACTCCATAATTGAGTATTAAATTAAATCAACACAATTAGCTTTAATTAATTACACTCTTATAGGGATTGATGCTTTACCTCGTCTACATTTTTTTTACAAGGTAAAATAGGACAATTCACCTAACATTTCTAAAATTTGGAGTCGAACTAGGGAAGGTGGAGGGGTTGGCAGTTAGCAAGTACAGCACGGTTCTTTTCACTCCTTAACAGAGATTCGAAGTTCAGCCAGAGGTCTTGGATAATAGGAGTTTTTAGAGGATATTTAGTGAGGTCCCTATTGGAACGTTATCTATATTGCAAACAACTGTACATCATTTGGTAATCATGGGCAAGTTTCAGCTTGGGAAAGACCTCATGCTGATTAGCTTTATGTAAAGTGGAGAAGTCACAATATTGAGGATGCCAACATAACTTTTATCCCATTAAATTCCACATGTCAGGCAGGATTATCTAGAAGAGGAGTGGAAGTAGGGAAAAGGGAGAGAAGCTCTCAAGCCATCTCTGGACACTAGAAGGTTTTCACACCCTCTTGTTGGCTAGGATATAAAATGTGGGGGTGGGCTGTGTGGTCTCCAAGATCTCTTTAAGCTTTCACATGTTTTGCCCCTATCCTCTGTCATTTGCTCTCTCAGTGTAAATGTAAGGCTTGGGTGATTCATCCTGGAATTGTGAGAAGGAGTTTCCCAACAGGGCCACCTGCTGCTGTTGTCTTGAAGACAGGGCCAAATTCTCCATGCTTCTTGCATTTGGGGGCAGCTGGTACCGCTCCTGTGTAGCTGATGGGAACTCACTTTGCAGCTTGCATGTTTTGCCAGCACAGCATTTTCAGAAATGGCCTGGCCACTCAATCTGAGCTGCGGCTCTCCATTTTTACTATTTCAGTTCTTAAAACAAGTCTGCCCTGGACTCATAATTCAGGGAACCTCAAAGTTTTGGGGACACAATCCACAGTCAAAAAACAAAAATACATTTTATACAGATTTACATAAAAACACACAATTTATAGAACATTGTCACAAAATAACACTTGGCATTATTCCATGTAATGTATTATGTTTTTTCATTTTTCTATTTTATTTTACTTCAAAAGGAGTGCTGATTGTGTCCCATTCAGTTGATATTATGATCCACTATAATATGACCTACAGTTTTACAAGTATTGTTCACATGATTTTAATTAGATTAGTGTGGTTAATATTGAGTGTCAACTTGATTGGATTGAGGGATACAAAGTATTAATCCTGATGTGTCTGCGTCGGTGTTGCCAAAAGAAATTAACATTGGAGTCAGTGTGCTGGGAAGGCCGACCCACCCTTAATCTGGTGGGCACCATCTAATCAGCTTCCCTCGAATATAAAGCAGGTAGAAAAATATGAAAAGGCAAGACTGGCCTAGCCTCCCAAACTACATCTTTCTCCCATGCTGGATGCTTCCTGTCCTCAAATGTCCGACTCCACATTCTTCAGTTTTGAGACTCAGACTGGCTCTCCGTGCTCAAGCTTGCAGATAAGCCTATTGTGGGACTTGGTAATCCTGTAAGTTAATACTTAATAAACTCCCTTTATATGTATATCCTATTAGTTCTGTCCTTCTAGGGAACCCTGACTAATACAATTAGGGACTTGCTCTTCATGTCATTTTCTCTTCTAGAAGGGAGTATCAATACTAAGAGCAAGCGCATGAGAGGCTGCAGTATTA